GTCCAACTACAGGCCTATCGCCATCACCTCCTTGTTCTCCAAAATAATGGAATCCATTATAAACTGCCAGCTCATGAGGTACCTTGAGGATCACCAGCTGATCAGTGACCGTCAGTACGGTTTTCGTCGGGGTCGATCAGCAGGTGATCTTTTAGTTTACTTAACTCATAGATGGGCGGAGGCAGTAGAGTCCAAGGGGGAGGCATTGGCCGTTAGTTTGGACATAGCGAAGGCCTTCGATCGGGTCTGGCACAAGGCGCTTCTTTCGAAGCTTCCATCCTATGGGCTTCCCAAGAAATTGTGCAAATGGATCACCAGTTTCCTTGCTAATCGGAGTATCAAGGTCGTAGTAGACGGTGCATGCTCTGATTACAAGCCTATCAACGCTGGTGTTCCACAAGGCTGCGTGCTATCACCAACGCTGTTTCTCCTGCATATCAATGATATGCTGCTAACTGGTAGCATTCATTGCTATGCAGACGACAGCACTGGGGATGCCTTATATACCGGCCGTGCCAATATTTCTCGGGAAAACGTCGCCGAGTACCGGGACAAACTTGTGTCTGAAGTCAAGTCTTTGCTTAACAAAGTCTCGGATTGGGGCCGACTAAATCTAGTCCAGTTCAATCCCCAGAAGACACAAGTTTGCGCGTTTACCGCTAAAAAGAACCCCTTTGTCGTATCTCCTCAGTTTCAAGGCACTCCCCTTGCTGCCTCAGCCAGTATCGGAATCCTTGGCGTCGACATATCGAATAGCGTGCAGTTTCGTGGTCACTTGGAAGGGAAGGCCAAATTGGCCTCTAAAAAGCTTGGCGTGCTCAGCAGAGCGAGACAGTATTTCATGCCGGCACATCGCTTGCAACTTTACAAAGCGCAAGTTCGGCCCCACATGGAATACTGTTCTCATCTCTGGGCCGGGGCACCCCAGTGCCAGCTCCTTCCACTTGACCGCATCCAGCGCAGAGCGATTCGAATCGTCGACGACCGAGTTCTTTCCGATCGGCTCGATACACTGGCACTGCGTAGAGATGTTGCATCTCTTTGCGTATTTTATCGCATCTATCACGGGGAGTGCTCTGAGGAATTGTTCGGACTAATTCCAGCCGCTCAATTTCACCATCGCACGTCGCGACAAAACTCGCGTTACCATCCATACCATCTGGATGATTGGCGGTCCACCACTGTGCGATTTCGAAGAAGTTTTCTCCCTCGCACAACTTCTTTGTGGAATCAATTACCACCAGCGAATTTTCCGAACCGATACGACTTAGGAACCTTCAAGAAAAGAGCTTACACCTTTCTAAAAGGCCGGCAACGCATCTGCAATTCCCCTGGTGTTGCGGTTGTTCATGGGCGGCGGTAGTCACTTAACATCAGGTGAGCCGCATGCTCGTTTGCCCCCTATTCTATAAAAAAAAAAAAAAAAAAAAAAAAAAAAAAAAAAAAAAAAAATTTTGTCTGTAACTTTACTAACCAACATCCTTTCATTAAGTTGCTGCCTAATTTGTTACTTCGTTTAATGCAATCTGTATGAATTGCGAAACATTCTTAAGAACAGTTATATTTGAAACATAAAGCGAAAAAACAGATTAAATATTTTGATTTGTATAAAAATATTATTTCAATGTCAGGGTCGATTTCAAAATTATACATGGTTCGTAATGCATAATATTCATTCATATATTCTATGCCTTATTAAGGTATAACCTTTGGTATGGCGAGATCGCGGAGCGGGAAGAATTTCAAATTATGCAATAATTCATACAAATGTGAACTTTAATTACTTGAGAAAAAACTCGGTTTTCGAATCACAAATACTGTTGAAAAGGTCCTAAAACTATCTTTTTAGTTGCAATAGAAATAAAACTTTTTATGATGGGAATTAAGTTCAAAAATGCAAAGCAATAAAAAAAAAATCCTGCTCCGCGACCGTGCTTTAGTGTTGGGTATAGCCGCAACAGAAAAAACACCTTCCCGTCGGTATCGTAAGAGGCGACAGAGGGAAATGAACCCGGAGATGAGCAACAGTGTCTTCCTGATAATGCTTACACCTAAAAGAAAACAGCGGTTTCCAACCTGGCTGCCAACCGTAGCAAATATGGCAAATACCAGTCGTATGATTCTATTTTCAGCAGTGAACTTTTGATGAATCTAAAATGTAATATGAATGTAATAAACCTGACCGGTGGTGGTGGTGATGGGATATATAATACGCTAATATAAACGTATTTTTAATCTTTGCATTGTGTAATGAAACGGAGGAATCGTATATTCGATCGTATTTTATATACCAAGTAAATCAAAGTGAAAAAATTACACGAGGTCCTATCTAAATATAATTAAACTCTTGTCATTTGAAATGTCTGAGCCGTGGTAGCTCAGATGGTGAGCGCTCGCTGTAAGTTTCACAGTACGCGGACAATTTGGGTTCGATTCACCCGGCACCAATAAAATTGAGTGTATGATAGAGTTGTTTTTGTCCGCTTTAGTCTTACATACTAAATGACTCCGTTTAATGGAAGTAGCGAATTACACATATATGTTAAGTCGTGTTAATATTGGTGTTTTGAAATAGCTAAATGATTGAATTAACAAATTAGGTCTATATTGATTTTAGGAAAGAGGCCGTTATCAGGTGCCGAACGACAACGACGATACAGAGAACGTTTAAAATCGGTTAATCCAGAGAAGTGGAAAGAAATACGTAAAAATAATTTATTGAGAGCTAAAAGTCACTATCGACCGATAAATCAACTTACCGAAGTTGAAAAAACTATTAGACGAAGGCAATGGAGAAGGTTTAAACGAAATATACGTAATGTTAGATCTGAAGATCAAAGAAAATGCAAAAGACGGCTAGAGTAGAAAAATGTGTCCCCAAAATTACACAGATATATAAAATAAATAAAGGGAATGTATATTAATTATTAAAAAATATAGCTTTTATGAGGACAAAGACAGAAACTTTTCAATATAATTTAAAATTTTATAAATTAAAGGAAATGGTAGAGAGAGTTTCGAGATTAGCCGATAATAAAAGTAGCACACTAATGGGGGACGGGTTTTATAAAGGCGTATGCGACAATAATACATTGCTGTACGTCTGCTTGCTAACGTTACGTTCGCGTCGCTGCATGTAAGTTTTATGAGGATTGATGTCCTGCGGCTCAAACGCCAGATGTACGTACACCTTGTTTTGAAAATGGCGGAAATGTCTTCGAAGTACAAAAATTTTTTGGTTGTAGTTTTTTCTATCACAAGCACTGAAGGTGGGTTCGCTTAGTCAATAAAATATTAGAAAGATGCTTTAAAACTCATCATTTAATCAAAAACCAATTTTGGCAGTGTAATGTAGTACACATCCTAAAATTAATTAATCTCCTTGAATATTGTCGAAAATTTCTTCAATATGTTCAGAAGTTTGTATGTATATTTGTTTCTAAGTTTATTTCTAAGTAGATTATTGAAATAAATTTTATAAAGAGGTCATATTTTTTTTTTCATACACTTGTTCTGGTATTTATATAATAATTATAATCTTTAAAAAGATTCCCTTAAAAATAAAAGTGTTGGCTTACAATTTTTTTTTTCAAGGAAGAAAGACCGTTAAAACATCCAGTAACTTTTTTTTTATAGGAGAGGGGGCAAACGAGCATGCGGCTCACCTGATTGTAAGTGACTACCGCCGCCCATGAACAACTGCAACACCAGGGGAACCAGGGGAATTGCAGATGCGTTGCCGGCCTTTTAAAAAGGAGTAAGCTCTTTTCTTGAAGGTCCCTAAGTCGTATCGGTCTGGAAAAATCGCTGGTGGTAATCGATTCCACAAATGTTCCAGTAACTATTAATTAGCTATTTTTGTTATAGAATAAGGGTGGCAAACGAGCACACGGTTCGCTTGATGATAGGTGGATACTGTGGCCCATAGGCATTAGATATCTAAATTTATGTATACCTGTATGTATAATTAAATATTATTTAACTTTTATTATTAGCCATACATAACGTCAAAATAGGAATAACGTTAAAACCCTCTAACAAGTTATACATTAAGTACAAAATTCATCGCATTGGTAACCATGCATCATAAAAAATAAAGACCTAGCATAGATTTTTATTTTACTAGGGGGAGGATATTAAACCGAGTTCAACAGAAATCCCGGCGAATAGTACCATTAATGGGTACCATGAAAGTTTTTACTGAAGAGGCTGGAGTTATAAAAGTATAGGGACTTGAGCTGTTTCTATCAGCGTGGCTTTTTAGCCTAGAACACTCCTAGTATTGCTCTCTATCTGTTCATCAAGTTTAATTGCAGTCGGTTTAGCCATTCCGAAGATTAGCCCGGACAGACAGACGGACAAAAGTTAAAAAATGATCACTCATGTCTTCATGGCATGCAAATAAGCCCCTCAGCTCAATTATTTCGATATTACAGACAGACATTTTAATTTTATTTATATGTATAGATTTTCGAAATTCTCTGGGCTTCTTGTGCATGTGTCAGTAATCGGTGAACAGTCAAACAACTACCGACAAAGAAGTATGTAAGTACCTCTGAAATCCATAAAATAAACATAAAACAATTAAAAATAAAATTTATTTAAATTTTTACAATACAGACGAGAGCATTTCTTTCGTTAAAATAATTTTATTTCAGAAGTATTCTCAGTTTTCATGGATAATATTAAAAGAATTTCGTTTGCAGGGACACTGACTTTTACCTTGTCCCGCAAAGGGCGGCCAGTTCTTGTATTAGGTTCCCATCGTTACAACAAATCTACAGCCAGCAGGGGCAGGCACGTTCGCTGGATCTGCTGCAAAACCTCATCCGGTTGCAAGGCCAAGGTTTTCACTTTCGACAATGTTGTTATCAAACACTTCTTAGAGCATACTCATTAAAGTTTTTTTTTTTTTGCGTTATTTTCATTTATTTTATTGCCGGACCCTCCGTATGGTGAAAGCATAAAAACAATGTTTAGATCCTGTTATAAATTAGGTTATGGTTTTAAAAGGTTTCTCCAACTCGCACCATGATTTCCGCTTTCCAGAGGCAGTCTTCTTGACATCGCGGTTCGGAAACCCTGTTATTCAAATAGGAAACTATAGATTTAGCAAATGGAGCGGCAGCACAGGAGCGAAAACTCGTTGGATCTGTATCAAGGATCATAAGGGGTGCCGAGCGAAGCTTTGGACCTACGATGAAGTCATTATCAAGTATCACGATAACCACAACCATTAAACTTAAATTGCTCATGGTATATAATTTTTTGGATTAGATTAAATATTAAACGAATTCGTGGATTTTTTGAAGAGGCAAAGTAATTGGATAAGATCTTTCCATAATGCATTTTTTATTACAACTACCTTAGTATCTATCTCTAGTAAGTTGTAACTAATTTAAAAACGTTACCTTTATACTAAGATTTTCTCCAGTATCTTGGGGGTGCGTAATATTCAAGCCCTTGGATAAACTTGCCCAAGGATAAACTTCCAGAACCGGAACAATTTATTGCAAGCCATACAAACACTTATCCCGTATAGTAGAATATCCTCTACCCCTTATCGTCCCTTGGGTGTCGTAAGAGGCGACAGAGGGAAATTGAAACAGGAGATGGGCAGCAGCATTTGCCTAATAGCAATGCAAAATAATAAAATAAAACTGCGGTTGCCAACCCGCCTGACAAGCGTTGCAACTATGAAAAAATCCCCTCTATGAGGCAAATTATGAGGAGACCTATGTTCAGCAGTGGTTCAACATTTGGCCCGCAGGGTGTTCAAAGATACTGTTATGCAGTGACACAACTAAGCGTTTAGCCACTGAGTTACCCAGCTGCTGTATAATTTTATGTAAGTTTGTTATACGTAACTTCTAGTCGTCGCTATTTTCAAATTCTTCTTCTTTTCTTGTTTCTTCTTTTTGTAAAAAACGTTACCCCCACACTAGGATTTTCTCCTGTATCGTGGAGGCAGTTTACAAACACAAATTGCACAAGGACGAACATCCAGACCCGGAACGATTATTTGTAGACCATACAAATATTTGTTCCGTGCGGGATTCGAACCCGCGGCTCCCAGCGCAGCAACTCATTGCTAAGCCACTGAGCCACGAAGCCGTCAAAATTGTATCTGCCTTTTTCGTTATCATCATCAGTCGATAAAATTTCACTGCAGCACATAGACATCCACGGTTGTAGGGAGGAATTTGTCTAAATCGGTAAGCTACGGCAAGCTTTTTTAAACGGAGGTACCTACCCCTTTTGAATTCAATTCCCTGACAATGGCAAATCGCTAAAACAAACTGCCTTATGAATAATATTTAAAAAATGCCTTATGAATAAGGTTTATTATTTAAAAAATAGCAAGTAATGTGCACGCAATGCTTTCGCTCTGGTAGTTAGTCGCACGTGTACCACAGTGTATGAGTGTGTGTACAAATGGCGTGCACCATCATGCGTCTAGCACGTATGAGCTAGTCAATCAGCCGCTATAACGTAGCCAACGACCACTCTTTTAAAGTCTTACATACATACGTGTAATAAAAGGCTGCGACTGTGTGTGCTGGAACTGTTATGGACACTGGGCACAACCTAGCCAACGACCACTCCTTTAATGTCTTAGTACATAAAAATATTTATTAAAATTACCTTTTTAAAATAACTAACTTTGAGAAAGTATTTTTTTTATAAAAATCGATTAAAGCACCAACTCGCCGCCCCGGTACTTTGTTATTTGAATAAACAACATTTTCTTAGTGTAGGGTAGTCAGTAAGAAAGGGTTGCAGCTCAAGATTACAAAACCGTCTAATAGATAAACCATACATAAATTTATTTAAAGACAGACATATTTCTATAAAATGTTGTAATGATATTTTCAGAGCCAGTCTTCACTTTTTCTCAGCTCGGCCGTCCGTCGATTGTATTCAAAGGCAATAGATATAATAGGAAATATTGCAGTATTGAAAATCGTAAGATACGGTGGGCATGTGTTAAATCTTACAAAGGATGCCGAGCCAAACTCACCACCGCGAATAACAAAATAATTTCGCACTTCGACGTGCACAATCACTAAGGTATTATTTCATCTTCTTCTTCATTATGGTATAAAATCGTCTGTCTTCCCGTTCAGTTACAAGGTTGGTTATCTTCAATGAAAGAGTGAATAGACTTTTGTTAAGTGAAATCGGGGTGTTTTACAATCTTCGGCTGTAACAACAGTTACCATCAGGTGCAAGCATTGACTTAGGCTTATTATATTTAAAAAGCTAGACATGAGCTGTCGTTGATGGGAGGATTTGTCTTGTTCGTCATGCCTGTCAAGTAGATTGACGATCGCAGAAGGAAAACTTCGTCATTGTTGTTGCCGCTCACCGTCGCCGATCTGCAAACTCGTATTTAATGTTCGGGGTAAAGAGATAGTTATACCGGCCATATAACTATCGGAAGCTATTGATCTTTCATGGCATTTGCCATAGTGGCCCCTTATGACACCCAGGAGTAGGTTTGCAACGATCGGTCCACCGATTATATCTAAGCTAAAATATCGATATTTTTTCGATATTAGGACATTGCCGTTAGGATATTATTGTCGACGCGATGGAATTGTAGACAAGAAATGCAGAGATCATACCCAAGTTTGCAACGATCGGCCCACCGATTATATCTAAGGTAAAATATCGATATTTTTTCGATGTTACGACATTGCTGTTAGGATACTATTATCGACGCGATGGAATTGTTGGCAAGAAATGCAGAGATCATACTCAAATTTCATTCAACATTGCCATGAGTGGCATTGCCTGTCGTTGTTTTGTCTGTGTCTGTCGAACGCCTATTTCAAAAGCAGGAGTCACGGTCACTCGGACCAGAAATAGACTCAATGGAAAGATGCCGAACAAATGAATAATCAGACGAACTTACCTTGTACGAACATGCGAAGTTCGATTGTAATTGTGTGATATGCACTTTTGCGTCTATTGATACTTTATAGTGGCAAATGTAGTTTTCTTTAATAAATACAAGTTGTTTTTAAATGTGTTTAATTATTTCTTTTAATTAACAAAATATCGATATAATAGATAAAAATTGTTCGATATGATCGATAATCGATATCTGCCTGGTGTCGATAAATATATCTATATTTTTATCTATATTTTTATCTATATTTAAATTCCTGCACCCGTAGAATAAGCATTGGAGCAGCGTGGCGGACTCTTCCCAAGTTCTAAAATTCTCTTAGGATGACAGGAGACCTTTGCTCGGCCGTGAAGTTAAATGTAAGTAAACTAATTTACCTTTTTAATACAAAAGAAAACTTGTACAGCACCATATATTATGTTGTTATTTACATTTTTAATACTTTTTTTATTTTTGTTCCAAAACAGGTGATGGAATGATGTGTACTAACATATAACAAATGTGGTTCCATGTAGCATATGCACTATTTGTTGTTACTAAGAGCTCTTTAAAATAGATGGAACGTAAGATTTGTTACTTAATTGACCTTTAATAACGTCTATAATTGGGAATAAGAAATATTTAAAAAAAAAGCTGAGTATATTCAAAAGTTAATATTTTTTATATTATGCTCAGTTTCGTTTAGTATTTTTATCGTATATATTTATAAGGACTTTGTTAACATATTCATTATTTTTAAAAAGATTTGTGTTTCGGTCTACATTCATATATTTTCCAAAAGAGAACAAATTAGTATTCAATGTCAATTAATTGATGTTTCTTCTGTGATAAATCCAATAAGTCAATTAGTTGGTCTTTTTTCTGTAATAAACCCCTTCTGGAATTAATTTTCAGTTTCCTTTAATTATTTTACAGAAGTAATAGTTACGGACGATCACATAGTCCATCTGATGGTAAGTGAATGTTGCCATATCATTCTTCAATTAAGAATCAAAATCAACCCATAAATTTTCAGCCCTAAACCCTTAGATGGAAGATCTCTTGTTCTTTTCTGTCACCGTGCGAAACAAGCATTATGTTAATGTTTTACGATGATATTCTTTGCCTCTCGCACATGATCATATCACACACAACATGGATGAAGACTAACTATTTAAAGTTATGGATGAAAGGAAAAAAAGAACCTGTAATATTCTATACTTTTTTTGTCATAATAATTTATTATTAAATGTTGGAACTATATTTCCAGGACCATTCTTTACTTTTTCCAAGCTTGGCCGACCGGCGATTGTATACAAAGGTAATAGATACAATAAGAAATACTTGACCGGTGAGTGTAAGAAGACATGCTGGGCGTGCGTTAAGTCGTACTTCGGATGCCGAGCCAAACTCACCACCATGGATGACAAAATTGTTTCGCATTTTGATGTGCACAATCACTGAAGTGATGTTTAACTATAAATAAATTCGATTTATGAATACCACCACTATATGTTATATTTGACTTTAAAGGTATTTTTATTTATATTTGAAGACATTATCTGTCGCATATTTCATCATAGAATAATAATTAAAAATCAAAAATTTTGTACAACCGACTTCAATATAAATTATTAAGAATAACTCAAAAGCTATTGGTCAGACCTTGGTCAAATGGCACCAGCTTTCAAATGAAAAAAGAATCATCGAAATCGGGTCACCCAGTAAGAAGTTATGAGGTAACACACATAAAAAAAAAAACATGCAGTCGAATTGAGTACCGGCTCCTTTTTGAAGTCCGTAGAAAATAAACATAATTGTCGACATAGTATGTCGAGTTTGTCGCAATTACGGAATTACCATGCGTAAGCACCATGAAATGACAACTTTGACGCAATGCCTAAGAAAGAAATTTGTAAAATCACTCAAACCACATGAGTAAATAAACCGTACAGAGGCAAAGCTTCTATGGAGCTGTCAAAATTTTTACATATTGAGGTAGGATTGGCACAGGAGGATAAAATTAAATAACAAAACGTTTATCACTTTTTATTATATACTTAAGATATTTTTTTAAAACTCATAATTTTTGATTTTCAACAATTTGTTGTCCCTATTAATTAAATGGTAAATTATAATCTATTGTAAAGTTTTTTTTAATAATTTATTTAAAAAGCTCTCACATGGTTTTTTTTAATAGGATAAGGGTGACACACGAGCATACAGTCCACCTGATGGTAAGTGGCTGCTGTAGCCCATAGACATCTACATCTATCCTCGATTACAAATCAAAGTGCAGATGCTTCCTCACCCGTGAGGACTAAGATGGAATGCCTCTTTTCCAGTAAAAAGGGCCTCCAGTTTTCTACACTCACCATACGAAACACAGCAGGGTTAAGCTGCTATTTTACGCTGGTATTCTGTGAGAACGTGGTCCTTACCCGGTCGAGCCGACCCATTCGTGCTACAACTATACCACTAATATAGCTGCAGCATGGCTCTACCACGTATATTGTACCACGTATAAATATTGCTTCATAAATAATAATAATAATCGTTTCAATCTAGATGTAAGAATAACGTAATTAAAAAACCAGAAAGTTTTTTGTGCGTTCATGGATTTGGAAAAGGCTTATGACAGAGTGGACAGGAATGTGTTATGGCAAACACTGAACTCATTTGGGTTGAGCGCTGGTTTGATACAGGCATTAAGGTTTCTTTATAGGGACTCTCAGCCTTGTATCAGAATCAACGGGGTCTACTCGGACTGGTTTGGCATTCAAAAAGGTGTTAGACAGGGCTGTGTAGCTTCCCCGTGGCTCTTTAACTTATTTATGGACAGTTGTTTGCAAACTTTGAAAGTTGAAGAATGTGGGTTGAGAATGATGAGTTAACCGTCAAATGCATTTTGTACGCCGATGATCAAGTCATATTTGCATTGTCGGCGGTCGAGTTGCAAAGGATGGTTACTATAATGAACTGCTCATTAAAAGAAAGGGGTATGAAAGTGAACGCAAATAAGACGAAAGTGATGGTTTTTGAAAGAGAAGAAAGTAAAACGTTATGTGAAATAAGAATAGAAGAGGAGTTGATAGAGCAAGTGGATGAGTTTGTATATTTGGGATGTGTGTTTAGCAGGGATGGTAGATATGATAAGGATATAGAACGACGACTGAACGCAGGAAATAGAGTGAATGGGGCTCTACACGCTATTGTGAAGAGTCAGAAGGTGTCAAATAAGGCACGTATGGCAATTCAAAATGCTGTGTTAGTCCCTACTTTAATGTATGGTAGTAAAAGTTGGGTCTGGCAGATGCATGAAAGTAGAATAAATACTGTAGAAATGCGGTCATTAAGGAGTATACTAGGGCTGAATCTGAATGATAAGTTGAGAAATAGTGTGATAAGAGAAAAGTGTTGTTTGCAAGATGTCGCTGTGACCAGGATTAAAAAAGGATTGCTTCGGTGGTTTGATCATGGGGAAAGAATGAACGAGGAAAGAGTGACAAAGCAAATTTATATTGCAGAAGTGAACAGCGGGGTCGGGAAGGGACGCCCTAGACCAGGTACGGGCAACCTTTGACATGTTGAGGGCCAAACTTTAGCGTGCAAATACGTTCGCGGGCCGCGTTTAAAAGTACTTAGAGCATTATAAAGTAGTGATAATATTTTTTGCGATAGATATTAGACATGAAATAATACGACAATGTTATTATAGCACAATTTATTAAAATAACAAAATGAAATTTAATAAAATGGTACGTTATAAATAAATCGTTAAATTTGCAATTGTTACAAACTACGAAAGTTAAATACACCGAAATCAATGAGACACTTGAGCTTGAATTTGGGGAACTAATCCATCAATATTTGGATTAATTCTACTGATACAAAGACGTAAAGAATTATCCAAATTATCGTCAGACAGTCTTGTACGATGTGTTGATTTATTAACTTTCATCAATAAAAAGAACTGTTCGCATTTATATGTACTGCTAAACGCACAAATCAATCTTCTTGCGAATTTTCTAAGCTGCGGAAAATTGTCTTCTTCTAGGTATGTTTTGTAGAAATCGCACAACTCTACGTCTTCAAATTTGGATTTTAGGAGTGAGTTTTCTTGAATCTCGATCAACTCCATTTGTAAGGGTATTGGAGCATTTTGTACATTATATTTTGTAGGAGTAGCAAATAAACTGAAACAGTCTTCCATGTTATTCAAGTCGCTAAATCTGTTCGAAATTTGTTCCGACAATAACTTGAGTTCTTCAGCATATTCAGCATAAGCAATATTTTCATACGTAGAGAGCGTGTTACCAGACAGCATCTGTGACTCCCACAAGCGTAGTTTGATCTGAAACGCTTTGAAATGGCTATACAAATCATTTACTAACTATCTTTGTTTTTGAAGTTTCAAATTTAAATCATTCAAATAGCCTGTAAGATCGATCAGAAATGCCAAGTCACATATTCATTTGGGTCACTTAATTCAGATAGTGCTTTATCTTTTATTTTCATAAAGTCTGCTATCTCATTTCTAAGCTCGTAAAACCGTTTAAACATTTTTCTTTTGCTCAGCCATCTGACTTCACAATAATATGTTACGTCGTTATATTCAGCTGATATTTCATCCAAAAACGCCCTGAACTGACGATGGTTAAGCCCTCGGGATCGAATAAAGTTGATGGTTTTTACTATTCATAACATTCTGGAGTCGAATGGACTTAGAACACAAGTTCTGTTGGTGGATAATGCAATGAAGGACTATCAAATCATCTTTTTGTACATTTAATTCGGTTGCTTTTTCATTCAAAATTCCGATGAAACCTTTACGTAAGCCGACCATAGAAGGTGCACCATCAGTGCATACTCCAATTAATTTTGACCATGGCAAGCTAAAACTTGTGAATACCTTTTGAACTTCAATAAAAATATCCTCTCCTGTGTGGTTCCTTTTAGCTTAGCTAGCTTTTATAGAATAAGGGTGACAAACGAGCACATAGTCCACCTGATGGTAAGTGGTTTCTGTGGCCCATAGACATTTACATCTATCTTCGTTTGCGAATTAAAATGCAGATGCGTTGTCAGCCGTGAGGACTAAGATGGAATGCCTCTTTTCCAGTAAAATGGATCTCCGGTTCTCTACACTCACCATACGAAACACAGCAGTATTAAGCTGCTATTTTACGCTGGTATTCTGTGATAGCGTGGTCCTTCCCCGGTCGAGCTGACCCATTCGTGCTACAACTATACTATTAATATAACTGTAGCATGGCTCTACCACGTATAAAAATGTTTTTTCTTTACTACCTATGTCAGTCTATCAAATTATATTACAATATTATAAATTAAGATATGTTTTAAGCACATATGTGGCATGTTTATATTAAGGCACAAGACAATTTTATATTCGCATTTATTCAGTTTTTGTTTTATATTATTTTATTACTGTGTCCTGCAAAAAATGAATGGAATTAATGTAATATAGGTTATTCATCAATTAAATGTTTATCATTAATAAATTTTTCATATTTTCTGGTTAAAATAGCGCTGATGATAGACTTCTTTTTTTCTCTAGTAAATTTTATTTAAATGTATACAGAATTTTTTTTAAAAACGTTACCCGTTACGTTACTAGGATTTTCTCCAGTATCGTGGAGGCAGTTTACAAACATAAATTGCACAAGGATAAACATCCAGACCCGGAACAATTACTTGTAGGCCATACAAATACTTGTTCCGTGCGGGATTGGAACCCGCGGCCCCCAGCGCAACAACTCATTGCTAAGCCACTGCGCCACGGAGCCGTCAATTTGACGAAATTTGGGGTTATAATCAATTCGCTATTATTATAAGTTTTTTTTTCTTTTCTACAGGCAATGAACCTTAAGCTCGACAAACACAGTCAGTTAAACTGATCAGTTCAACTGATTGGTTAAAAAGCGTGTAAGCCAAAACGATTTCCCCACTCACTGGCTTCAAATTTAAAATTAAGATTTCACACTCACGGTCTGTTTTTGAATGTACGTCAGTTCAACTGATCAGTATAAATGACCGTGCGCCCGGACAAATCCGTGGGTTGCCGTCAGTTCAAAATTTGAACTTAAGATTTCACACTCACGTTCAGTTTTTGGATGTACGTTAGTTCAACTGATCAGTTTAACTGACCGTGTGTGTCGGCCATTAACGTCAGAAAACCTACTTAAAATGTATGTGAATTAACAATCATTTTCTGTCTACGCTATAATAAACATCGTATTTCTAACAATCTTAATTTTTTTTAATCTAATGCATTTTTCGATATATAATTATGTAAAAGTAATATAATGATGTAACTATCTAAACTTCTGTGTAAATTAAAATATATTTAAAACTATCATTTTAAGGTACTTACATTTTACTTTTATTCATATAACAACTACATATTATTATTGTACAAGTTATGATCATAGAACCATGTTATAGCAAACGTTTCCGTATATGTACCTTGTAATTTAAAACAAAGGTGTCACAAATCCCTTGGGCTGCTGGGATTGCAATTTGTATTTTGATCTGTCTGTTGTTATGTTAATGGTAATGATAACGTTGCTTTATATTGACTTCTTTATTTTGTTTAATGAAATGTAAAAGTTTATTTTCGGTTTAAATTGATTGAACTTTCAAATCATAAGTTTTAACTTTTATAATTCATTATTTTATGGGAAAATAGTAGTTTTAATATCTAACTTTAACTGTAATGACAAAAGCCTTTTAATAAGCGTAGAATTCTAAATGGTAACTTTCTATTAAAACCTTTGTTCTGACAACTCATAAATGGTATTTAATTGACATGAGTGTGAAATGTACCTACAACTTAGTATGTCGTTTCTGCTATATCATAAGATATTTTAGATGAATGCAGATTGATGTTTTGTCAGATATCTTATTGACTTGACTTATGATTAACACATAAATTCAATTTACAAGTAACATAATGACATATGACAAAATATTTCCGCTACGCATCTCATAATTAAAGGTAACGGTTAGGTATTTTATTATAAACTAGCGATTCGCTCCGGCTTCGCACGGTTGATTTCTAGATCTCGATACAACGATCTACTGGGTCTAATTGTGAATCTAAATCGTTCTCTAATCAACTTAATTCCACACACAAAATTTCATTAAAATCGGCAAGCCGTTTAGGAGAAATACAGTCATAAACACACGGACAGAAGAATTATATAATATATAATATGCATGTATATAAACCTTCCTCTTGAATCGTTCTATCTTTTGATGAAACCCGGATCAAAATACGTTGCGTAGTTTAAGATATCTAAGTATACAGATGGCGGGAAGCGACTTTGTTTTATACTATGTAAGAGGTAATGATTTCTTATATTTAAGCGAACACTACACATTGAATAAAACTACTTTTACGGATTCTATCGCGTTTAATTAGCTTATTTTTAAAATGCCCGACGTTTCGGGTGCTTTATAGCAACCATGGTCACAGGGGACTGAGGTGATTGGCGTCCCGATGTCATAGTTAACCCGGAGTACCTTTTTTACTTTTTTAAACGCAATAGAATTCGTAAAAGTAGTTTTATTCAAGAGATAAGAGATGTTCACAGTGATTATTAGCATATTGGTGATTGTGTGTGTCCTACAGGTGCCACGGTGAAGCGTAGGGATTTCGCAAGCTTTTTCCATTGTCTTGTGCAGCGGTTTTCGGGGAATTAATATTTGTTACATAAGCGTTCATTAAATTTACAAAATACGTAATCAAGAATAAAAGTTTTAAATTGCATTTTTTAGTGCCTACGATTAATTTGTTTCAGAGCCAGTGTATACGGTGTCGCGTTGCGGAAAACCTGTTATAACTGTTGGGAAGTACCGGTTCAATAAATGTTCTGCGACGAAGGGACCTCGAGCTCGTTGGGTGTGCGTTAAGATCAATTCGCTCAAATGCCCCGCTACTATTACCACTTACAACGACACTATCATAAATCAAAAACCTCATAATCATTAGTCTCTTGAATCTCCTCCTCCCTTTGATCTCATGTTTTTGAAACGTGTACTAAATTGAGATATATAATAAAATTCACAATTTGTGACATGATCTATTATGGTTTTATTTTTTTGGATTTATTTTTGGAACCGAATCTCTGAGGTGTAGGTATTAAACTCCATTCCCATGAAATATATTTGGTTTTGGAATTTTGATTAAATCCTTTTATTGACCAAGACTGTTCGATTAGCTTCTTAGGATGTTTTTTCTTTTATTTGTGTTCCAGAAGTTTGTGTACCTATGTTCCTGGAGTCTCGGACCGGTAGACCTGTTATACAGATGGGAAATTACAGGTTTAATATGTGGAGTGGCAGTCGGGGTCCTCGCGCTCGATGGATTTGTGTGAAGGTCCACTCCGGTTGTCCGGCCACACTCATCACCCTTGATAATGTCATTGTGAAACAGAAGCCTCATAATCACTGAGTAAAGTTATAGTTGGCTCAGTGACGCAATGACTGTGGTGTTACGGGTTGTAATCAGGGTGGTTCCATCAGTCTCAATGTACTTCGTATAATACTTGAGTACAATACTTTTGTTGAGCTGATACCCTTTTTCGAACAGTTGTTCTTGATTTGTTTTTGTTTTTTCCTTAATAATAATTGTAAGATTTTTTACTGCATTCAAAAAGCTTGATAATAAAATCAGGCGTTGTTACTTCGCTAGAGGAAATCCATGAAAATAAAGATGTTAAAAATTTGTGTTGTATCATTCATTACATTCAAATTTAACCAGTGTCATGTTATATCATGGTTTAGTAAAAATACTTTATAGTAAATTTTCTTTTTGTGTATAATCTCATATAGTCAAATTGTGATGTGAGAAAATATTTTTATTATCTGGTATTAAGCTAATATTTTGTTATAATGTTCATTTTCACAGATGCTATTTTTTTAACGTCACGCCGCGGAAAACCTGTGATTCAAATAGGAGAGCACCGTTACAATAAATATAGCAGGAGTAAAGGCGCCAAAGCTATTTGGGTATGCGTGAAATGGAGTACAAAGGCGTGTCGGGCATCTATCACTACTATAGATGATACTATTATTAAAACAAATAATTATCATACACACTAATGTTGTAATTCATAAAAAATCTAAAATAGGTACATATCGTCGTTAGTTTTAGTATTTATATTAATATTATTATCACAAAATTTATTATTCCTATTTATATTATATTTATAAACGGAACAACGTACAGAGCTCATTAGAAATTTTGGTAATATATTTTTTTATAGACAAACGAGCACACAGTGCATCTGATGGTTAGTGGATACTGTAGTCCATAGACATCTACATCTATTCTAATGCAGATGAGATGTCATCCCTGAGGACTAAGATGGAATGCCTCGTTTCCTGTAAAAAAGATCTCTATACTCATCACATAAAACACAGCAGCATAAAGCTGCTATTTTACGCTGCTACTCTGTGAGAGGGTGGTCCTACCCCGGTCGTGCCAACGCGTACGTGCTACAACCATAATAATATAGCTGCAGCATGCTCTACCACGTAAAGAAAAAAAAATTAATTCACCAGTTGGTACAAAATAGGATACCAAATGTACAGTACGCAGAATTTAGGACGGTTGGCCGTCTTAATTCATTAGTTCTATTTGAAATATATAATTGCAGTTATGTATAACATTTTTTTTATAAAAAGCCATTAGCAAAATTGACGAGTGTGAGTATCTAGGCGTAAAATTAGCCCAGAGATGACAGTAGACGTTTGATAGGCTGTATGAGTAAATGCGGACGGAGGTTAGTTTTATGTCAAAATGAATTTAGAGGTATAAATTGAAAGACATTTTTAAAAGTTTAATCTTAGATTTAAATCCTTTTAGGCTCAGAAATTGTTTCCCACTCCTCATTATCGTATTATGTGTTATTACTACTCATGTACCAATATTTATAGCAATATAAATTGTTTTCGAATTTCAACGTTGTTGGTGAAATAAAATGTGATTACATGCGATTACTTGTTTGCTTAATCAAAATACTTGTTTGTTTTACTTTTAATGGCAAATCACTCAACATCTTTTTTATTATTTGTTAGACCAACCAATTTTCATAACGTCCAAGAGGGGAAACCGCATGATCCATATGGAAGGTCATAACTTCAGCCTTCACAAGAGTACGGTTGGCCCGAAGAAGCGCTGGGTGTGTTGCAAATGGGCTAGTGGATGCAGGGCCGTAATCATTACAGTGGACGATACCATTATGAAATACAGTAATAATCATACACATCTATAATGTTCTATTAATTACGAAAAATAATAACTTGTAACTTCTATGTGTAATTTTATACCAATTTATTAAATGAGTTATTCTTCAATAAATTTAGTTCAAAAAATTTTCTGTCTTCATTTTAGAGGTCTGCTTTATGAACCGGTTTTAGTTTTCTTTTCTTAGACAAATGAACTTGAATGAAGTGAGCTTAAATTAAATATTTTTTAATGTCCATTTTAAATGCCCGTAGTTTATTTCAATATGTAGTTACCATTTAATATTTATGCTAAATATTATTAATTTGGAACTTTCGTTTTTAAATAATTGGCATTGATGCATATTATATTATAGTAAATCATGTTACCTAATGGTAATTTAATAAGTTTTATACAAATATTAAATAATAAGAATACTCTTGTCTTTTCTATTTTTTATAACTCTCAAGTGTAAACTATTAACTACATAGTTTCAATTTTTTATTAACGTCGAAAAGACGACAAATTATCATTTTTTGTCATAGAGCAACACGGGCCACCGCACCGGCGGAACGGAGGGGAACCATGTCGTTTTAAACCGATACAGAAAAATTTTTACGGGGCGAAATCTGCGCACACAAAAAAAAATCGTCTGTCACTATGAAACCCACACATAAAGATTAAGACAATAAACTAACAATTTCACACACACATAGATGCAATTTATCAGTATCGCTTGGTGATAGCGACAACTCGTATGCAGACTCGGATCAGTAGTCCGACCGATCTGTATATTGTATGAAGGCGAGCGCTTTGTGCTGGTAAACAAATCCGAAACAACACGACCGTTATTAAAGTAATTTTTAAGTTTAAAAAGAAGTAAATAGTAATAATGTGATTAAAAATTAGTAATATGAAAGTTCATCATCATCATCATCATTACAGCCTTTCATAAGTCCAGTGCTGAACATAGGACTCCCCCAAGGAATGGCACAAAGCACGGTCCTGAGCCACCTGCATCCATCGACTTCCTGCAGGTCTTACCAGGTCGTCACTCCATCTCATGGGAGGTCGCCCTACACTTTGCCTACCGGTACGAAGCTGCCACTCAAGAACCTTTATTCCCCATCGGTTGTCGGTTCTTCGAGCTATATGGCCGGCCCACCGCCACTTCAACTTACTAATCCGTTGGGCTATGTCGGTTACTCTGGTTCTACTGTGGATATACTCATTTCTAAGTTTATCACGCAGAGAAACCCCGAGCATAGCCCTCTCCATAGCTCGCTGAGTGACCTTGAGCTTCCTCATGTCACTCGCCATTGATATTAATACCGTATACTTTCCAGTCCAGAAGCTTGAGAACGTCTTCCAATGCAGCGGTGAAGAGTTTCGGGGATATAACATCACCCTGTCTTACACCCCTCTGCAATTGGATAGGTTTCGTACTCTGGTTCTGTACTCCGATAGCCATCGTAGCTCTACTGTACAAACACTTCACTACTTCGATATACCGACAGTCAACTTGGCACCGCTGAAGGGACTGCAGCACCGCTCAAATTTCGACGGAACCAGAGGCTTTCTCATAGTCCACATACGCCAGACATAGTGGTAAATTGTACTCCTCCGACTTCTGTACAATTTGGCGAAGGGTATGTATGTGGTCTATGGTGCTAAAGCCCTTTCGGAAACCGGCTTGTTCGGGAGGCTGGAAGTCGTCAAGTCTGCGCGCGAGACGATTCCTAATGACTCGAAAACAGCACGTAGACACGGCTCAGAAGGGAAATAGGTCTGTAGTTCTTCAAGAGAGCGTTCTCACCTTTCTTGAAGAACAAGACCACCGCACTTCTGCTCCACGCCTCCGGTGTAACGCCACCATAGAGGACGGAATTAAAGAGCTTCTGAAGTACTTCAAGTACCGGTCTTCCACCCGCTTTCAGAAGCTCCGCTGTAATTCCATCCTCGCCTGGGGTCTTGCCGTTTTTAAGATGCTGGAGAGCCATTCTAATCTCGCTCAGACTGACGTCTGGGATATCTTCGGAATAGTGTCGGTTAAGACTCGCTCTTGGATCGTTACTCACACTTGCGTGTGGCTCCAACGATGACGTGTACTACTGCCCATAGAACCTCTCAATCTCACTCAAAATCTCAGGTGCCCCGGAAACGATGCTGCCACATTCGGTCTTCAGCTTTGACAGTTGGCTCTTTCTGGCAGACAGATCTCTGGCAAAGACTTTGGAGCCTTGTTTCCGCTCGATCGCTTCTTCAATACAAGCTGTATTGAAGTTGCGTAAGTCCCGCAGCATGCATTTGGAGATCTGTCTGTTCAGTTGCCTTTATGCTGTCAAATCTGTTGAAGAATGTAGCTTCATCTTCCTTCTAACAGCCATGAGATTGAGAGTGTGATCGGAGAGTTTTTGTGTTCGTCTGTAGCGGGTCTTGCAGAACTTAGCTCCGACCGCACGGACAGCTTCCACGAGCTTGTCATTCAAATCGTCCACTTCATTGCAGTCTTCTAGGCACTGAAAACGGTTATACGAAAGTTAACGCCATCTATTTGTAAATTTCACGTGGTAGATCTCTTTATGCAGCAAATAACTGAAAAATTCGCATTTTTGTCGGATGTCTACTCAGCCGCGCAACTAGATTTAGTCTAGTGAGCAGTGCAATTAGTTATATTGTACTTATACGACCGCCTTTACTTATACTTTTTCAGAGGGTAACACGCCTGCGTATGGATACTAAAGTCCAATCCGCCGGTGGTCCGAGTTGCTCTATGATTTTTTTGTATACGAGTATTTATATATTTTATATTTTATACTACATTCAAACACACAAACAAAATTTGTTATTCTGTGTTATATTTTATATTTGATACTACATTCAAACACACAAACAAAATTTGTTATTCTGTGTTATATTTTATATTTTATACTACATTCAAACACACAAACAAAATTTGTTATTCTGTGTTATATTTTATATTTTATACTACATTCAAACACACAAACAAAATTTGTTATTCTGTGTTATTAAAATCGTTTGTGATTTCAGTGCCAACATTTACGACTTCACGTCGAGGCAAACCAATAATTACATGCGGAGGCAACCGATACAGTCTGAAGGATCCAAAATCTTTTAAAAAGCAATGGCGCTGCATTAAATGGCCTAGCGGCTGTCGCGCCGCTATCACTACAATAGAAAATAATATCATTAATTTTAAAAATGTTCACTTACATTATTAATTATTTCTGGAGGTAAATATAATGTGTTTTTATAATATTAAATATTTTCTTTTTTATGTTTGAAGAAATTTCTGATTGTTTATGATGATCATTTAAAATGGATTAGTTTTTGCGAAATTAAGATTTAATTGTTTTGCTAGGTAGTCGTATTGAATTTTGAGTTTTTTTTAAGGCACGTGTTTGCATCAAAGTAATGACATGGTCGTAAAACGCTTAGAATTATCTGTTTTTTGTTTTAATTTATCACAGAAGTACATTTCTGAATATCGTGTCGAGGCAACATATTTCTGAACTACATAAGCTTTACACAGTACAAAAGTCACCAAATCTGCTAATGACCATGTAATGTTGTTGTCGTGCCTATATGTTCATTAACAATGTTAAATTCATCAAAGTGAAAAGTCAGCATTGAACACTAAATTTGTCGTAATTTTTTTATAGGCGGCCTATACATAGTAGTGGATCTGCGATTGATTCCTGCTACAATGTTGATAATAGAAAATTTGTAATGGCTTTGATTGTATTTTTTTAAACATATAGTACGTTAAATATTTGAAGAAATTATGGTAACATTAAGATATAGTTAATTTTAATATATTATTTCAATTTACCAGTGTTATTATATGTTTATATTGAATTAAACGTATTTAAAAAAGACCTTGGCTAGTTATTATATAACTTTCAGTGATTGTGTATTCGTGTTGTGTTCTGTGCGATGGCGGCGAAGATAATATAATCGCGTGGGTTATTGGCAAAAACCAAAAGAGTACCAATAGAGAGTTAAGGTCGAAGAGCTCCGATAGATGGGAAGCAATAGACTGACTTGAATTTTAAAATCGTATATATAACCACAGAATAAATAATAGAAATTTTTTTTAAAGGATACGGTGACAAACGAGGAAACAGTCCACCTGTTGGTAATTTTTTTTATAGGATAGGGTGACAAACGGGCACACAGTCCACCTGATGGTACGTGGTTGCTGTGGTCCATAGACATCTACATTTATCCTCGTTTGCGAATCATAATGCAGTCGCGTTGTCACCCGTGAGGACTAAGATGGAATGCCTCTTTTCCAGTAAAAAGGGTCTCCGGTTCTCTACACTCACCATACGAAACACAGCACTGTTAAGCTGCTATTTTACGCTGGTATTCTGTGAGAGCGTGGTCCTTCCCCGGTTTAGCCGACCCATTCGTGCTACAACTATACTACTTATATAGCTGCAGCAAAGCCCTACTACATAAAAGCAAGGCTCTACCACGTAAAATAAATGCTGCAGCCTATATCTTCGATTAAGAGTCAAAATGCAGATACGTTGTCACCTTAGCAGCTGAAAATAATGCAGCATGGCTCTACCTCTTAAAATCATTATACTGCGAGTTGATAAAGAACAAGAAAATAGTATTGAATGTGTTACATAGTATTTTTAAATATAAAATATAATATGTACTTAAATACACACACGGTGTGCAGCGTGTGTTGAGTCACTCTTTTGCTGCATCATACTAAAATGCAAGCTATGAATGTTTACATTTCTCAAAAATTGTATTACAGTTTTGTTCGTTATAACCTGTCGGAAATATCTGCGAACCTGGCTTGATGACGTCATGCAATATGGAGAGATGGCAACGGTACTGGATAGACGATAACGGGCGGAAATATCTGCGAACCTGGCTTGATGACGTCATGCAATATGGAGAGATGGCAACGGTACTGGATAGACGATAACGGGCGGAGGTGCGGGGAAGCGCGAGGGGAAGCGCATTCCAGCGAGGTTCGCAGATATTTCCGACAGGTATATAGTTTTAACTTTTATTTTAGTTATATTTTAATCTATCCGTACTGCATGTAGCATCTAAAATGTGTTTTTGGTTTAACGTAAACTTCAACTATTGTTTGTGTGAGCATCAAATTAAGATTCCTACCTTTCTTTTCTTTCTTTCACAATTTCATTTAAAATAAATGATTTATCAGATTTTTATCAATTATAACGTATTAATTACGTTATTAATTAATAGAGTTACTAAATATGTAATGTATTTGATTGTAGCTATTTTCACGCATTCACGTCGCGGCAATCCCATAATACGCTACAATGGACATCGATTTAGCCTCAATGGGATACGAGGTTTCAAAAAACGATGGCTGTGCAATAAATGGGCTTCTTCGACACGCTGCAGAACTGCTCTGTACACATACGAAGATAAGGTTTTAAAAGTTACCAAAATGCATAACCACCCGTGAATGAGCATCAGCATGAATGATTGATGTCCTCATTTATTATTAATAAATAATTAATTTAATTACATAAATACACGTACATGAACAGTGTTTTCATTTCGGAATGTAATTTTCATAGATTGATTCCGTAGAAAAAATGTACCATCACGAGGGTAACCTCATTTATGAAACACTTGCGACGCGCCCCGACTTTGCTCTGGTTGAACAATTATTTGTTTTATCCTGGGTTATCTTTAGAAGGAAGACATCGCGACCTTTTTTTAAACTTTTGTAGAAGACAAATTCAGCCATACATTATTTACGTGCAGCTTTAACTATTGATGCAGCGCACGCTGTGGAAACCCTCAAGAGGCACGGCTTTTATTAGCGGCACGGCATCATAAAATTTAACCAGAATATACACACTATATATATATATGTATTAAGAGCGGTGGTCCTACCCCGGTCGAACCGGCCCATTCATGCTATAATGATTATATAGCTGCAGCATGGCTCTGCCACGTAAAAATGTACTAATATTTGTTAAGACCAACCAGATAAAGCTCGGAAATGTTTTTGAGGCATTTCTGGATGCCTATTTTATGACGGAGAAATCCATCTTAAGAAAAAATGATTAGCATGACGTTTATTATAGTATTTGGCACAATGTATACCTAGTTATTTGTTTCTTGTTATCGCCTTCTTGGTGTAGTGGTCGTGAACGGGACTCCTGTTTAGTGGTCCTTGGTTCAAATACCGGCTCGAGACAACATCAGTTACAATTCTGTCAACAAATTCTCAATAGCAACCTCATCTCATGAAGATATCTTTTCGATAGTATGGTCGGACTATGAGAGTTAGGGAATAGAGAGTGCTCCTATGCTTGCGCACACATTAATGTACCTACTACAATCCTGTCCTGTGTGGATAGCTCGTTTCCGCTGAGACTGGTCACCGTGACCGAAATCCGATCTAGTTATTTGTTTATACAGTATAATGTTTTGCTTTTAATAGGCATAAAAATATTGCAAATTTTCTCTCATAATGTCAATATCAAGCTCCTATTCCACACATATTAAAAGGTTTGGTACTTATGTAAAAAAGATCAGGCGAGTAGGCTAAATTATTATTTAATTACAGGCCCAGTTCTTTCTGTTTCAAAGTTTGGGAAACCGGTGATACTGTATGAGGGACATCGTTTTAACCGGCACAGCAGTTCAAAAGGCGACAAAGCGTTCTTTGTGTGTGTTAAATGGACTGCAGGGTGCCGCGCTAGCATTAAAATATTTAACGACGAAATTATTTCCATTAAGAATAATCACAATCACTCTTAAGGAACTTTGTAGTAAAAATTTGTAATGTATTAAAGTTATTGTATCACTTTATATGTTTTAATTACGTTATTCTTACATCTATATTGAAACGATTATTATTATTTATGAAGGAATATTTATACGTGGTACAATATACGTAGTAGAGCCATGCTGCAGCTATATTAGTAGTATAGTTGTTGCACGAATGGGTCTGCTCGACCGGAGAAGGACCACGCTCTCACAGAATACCAGCGTAAAATAGGAGCTTAATACTGCTGTCTTTCGTATGGTGAGTGTAGAAAACTGGAGCCCCTTTTTACTGGAAAAGAGGCATTTCATCTTAGTCCTCACAATTGATAACGCATCTGCATTTTGATTCTTTCTTGAGGATAGATGTGGATGTCTATGGGTCACAGCAACCACTTACCAACAGGTGGACTGTGCGCTCGTTTGTCACCTTATCCTATAAAAAAAAATTATTGCCTTGTCATCCCTTTCTAACCTGGCTCTAATGATTGTGCGTTTCACTTTAAAAAAATAATCAAGTACCTACTCAAATGTCTATTTTACTGCGCCAATCCGCGCTGCATGAAACATGAATCGTGCGCTAGCAAACGAACTTTTTATACATGAACCGTTACAATTGTTGAAGATTTTTCCCCTATTTGACTTCCGACGTGATGGCGGCGTTTTGAAATCCTGTGACTGATTTTCGTCTTACATTAGTATTGTATTACATATTTTGGTTTTTCGTTTATAATTCATTCATCTTCGTTGGATAAGTTCCTGATCTAATTCTATTACAGCCTATAAAAGTCTAATGCTGAGCACAGGCTTCTCCCATAAATTATAGGGGGGATTTTACCATAGTTGTAATGCTTGAATAAGGTGATCGCCACCATGCTGGTTCTATGAAAAATTATTTAAAAATTGTATAAACGAAGTTATTGTTAAGTGTAATATGTTTAAAAAAAAGTCCCGCTGGGTTTCTTGCTGGTTCTTCCCAGGACTGGGGTGTTTTCCGAACTAGTGGTAAATAAAAAATGACTTTCAATAAGCATTATGTAATAATCCATTTTTTTTTTTATTATTACAGCCCTTCACAAGTCCACTGCTGAACATAGGCCTCCCCCAAAGAATGCCACAAAACACGGTCCTGAGCCACCTGCATCCATCGACTTCCTGCATGTCTTACCAGGTCGTCACTCCATCTCGTGGGGGGACGCCCTACACTTCGCCTACCGGTACGAGGCTGCCACTCGAGAACCTTTCTTCCCCATCGGTTGTCGGTTCTTCGAGCTATATGGCCGGCCCACTGCCACTTCAGCTTACTAATCCGTTGGGCTATGTCGGTCACTCTGGTTCTACTGCGGATATCCTCATTCCTAAGTTTATCACGCAGAGAAACTCCGAGCATAGCCCTCTCCATAGCTCGCTGAGCGACCTTGAGCTTCCTCATACGGCCAGCAGTGAAGGACCACGTCTCAGTTCCGTAAGTCATCACTGGCAACACGCACTGGTTGTACAATTTCGTTTTAAGGTTTTGAGGTATGTCTGACGAGAAGATGTGTCGTAGCTTCCCGAACGCTGCCCAGCCGAGTTGAATCCGTCGATTGACCTCTCGGTCGAAGTTGGACTTACCCAGTCGGACTATTTGTCCCAGGTAAACATACTCGTCAACAACTTCGAGCTTAGTGTTCCCAACAACTACCGGCATAGGCGTGACATGGACATTAAACATGATCTTAGTTTTGTCCATGTTCATCTTAAGACCTATCCGTTGGGAAACACTATTGAGGTCATTGAGCATAGTGCTTAGGTCCTCCAGCGATTCTGCCATAAGGACTATATCGTCGGCAAATCGAAGGTGAGTGATGTACTCGCCATTGATGTTGATACCGTATCCTTTCCAGTCCAGAAGCTTGAAAACGTCTTCCAATGCAGCGGTGAAGAGTTTCGGGGATATGACGTCACCCTGTCTTACACCTCTCTGCAATTGGATAGGTTTCGTACTCTGGTTCTGTACTCGGATAGCCATCGTAGCCCTACTGTACAAGCACTTCAACACTTCGATATACCGACAGTCAACTTGGCACCGCTGAAGGGACTGCAGCACCGCCCAAATTTCGACGGAATCAAAGGCTTTCTCATAGTCCACATACGCCAGACATAGTGGCAAATTGTACTCTTCGGACTTCTGTACAACTTGCCGAAGGGTATGTATGTGGTCTATGGTGCTAAAGCCCTTTCGGAAACCGGCTTGTTCGGGAGGCTGGAAGTCGTCAAGTCTGCGCGCGAGACGATTCGTAATGACTCTCGAAAACAGCACGTAGACGCGGCTCAGAAGGGAAATCGGTCTGTAGTTCTTCAAGAGAGCGTTGTCACCTTTCTTGAAGAACAAGACCACCGCACTTCTGCTCCACGCCTCCGGTGTAATGCCACCATGGAGGACGGAATTAAAGAGCTTCTGAAGGACTTCAAGTACCGGTCTTCCACCCGCTTTCAGAAGCTCCGCTGTAATTCCATCCTCGCCTGGGGCCTTACCGTTTTTAAGGTGCTAGAGAGCCATCCTAATCTCGCTCAGACTGACATCCGGGATATCTTCGGATTAGTGTCGGATGAGACTCGCTCTTGGATCGTTACTCACACTTGCGTGTGGCTCCAACGATGATGTGTACAGCTGCCCATAGAACCTCTCAATCTCACTCAAAATCTCAGGTGTCCCGGAAACGATGCTGCCACACTCTGTCTTCAGCTTTGACAGTTGGCTCTTTCTGGCAGACAGATCTCTGGCAAAGACTTTGGATCCTTGGTTCCGCTCGATCGCTTCTTCAATACGAGCTGTATTGAAGTTGCGTAACTCCCGCCGCGTGCATTTGGAGATCTGTCTGTTCAGATGCCTGTATGCTGTCAAGTCTGTTGAAGAATGTAGCTTCATCTCCCGTCTAACAGCCATGAGATTAAGAGTGTGATCGGAGAGTTTTTGTGTTCTTCTGCGGCGGGTCTTGCAGAACTTAGCTCCAACCGCATGGACAGTTTCCACGAGCTTGTCATTCATATCGTCCACTTCATTGCAGTCTTCCAGGCACTGAAAACGGTTTTGTAACTCGAGCTGAAAGGTTTCGGGACTTTGGAACAGAGCACGAGGGGGACGGAGCGTTGACTTCATTAGACGAGACCTCTCCAACTTAACGTTTAGGTTCAGTGTGCCTCTAACCATTCGGTGATCGCTACCAGTTTTCACCCTCGCGATCACGGAGACATCATTGAACAGTTGTCGTCTGGTCGTCATAATAAAGTCAATCTCATTTTTTGTGGAACCGTCGGGGCTCGACCAGGTCCACTTCCTGTGGGGCCGCTTCTGGAAGAAAGAGTTCATCATAAAGAGTCCCTCTTTCTCCATGAAGTCGGCCAGCTGCTGGCCCCTTGGGTTCCGTTGCCCTATTCCAAATTTCCCTACTTTCAGCTCACCGTTCTCTCTTGTGCCTAGTTTTGCATTGAAGTCTCCCATTAACACCGTATATTGGGTTTTGGAGGAATGCATGGCTCTAGAGATATCCTCATACATTTCCTCCACCTCCTCATCGGGGTGTGCCGAGGTTGGTGCGTAAACCTGTATGACCTTCAGCGAATACCGTTTGGTGATTCTGAGTATAAGGTACGCAACCCTCGTCGACACACTCCCGATTTTTACAACGTTGTTAACGGGAGACTTGTGGACGATAAATCCGACACCTCCTTGGGACAGATGGTCGCCCTCCCGGTGATAGAGCAAGTTGCCGGATTCGAGGATTACCGTGTCCTCCCCCTCTCTTCGGACTTCGGATAATCCTATAATATGCCAGCGCAACTTGTCTATCTCTTCTTCCAGCTCCACGATCTTCTCGTCAGTCCTCAGGGTGCGTGCGTTGTACGTTGCCAGGTCGAGTCGTCTAAGGTGGCAACCGAACCTCCACCGGAGATTCTTAGCACCCCCTGCCCCGCCGTTACCATGGTCGCCACCGTAGCCAGGAATAGCGGGGCCGCCGGGGACTGGGGGCCGTTTTTCTGTTGCTCTCATCATTGGGGGGTATTTGCCATAGTTGCCACGCTTGGCGAGCGGGTTGGCAACCGCAGTTTTTTATTGTAATTTGGCTATTATCAGGAAGATGCTGCTGCCCATCTCCTGCCTGTTTCCCTTTGTCGCCTTTTACGACACCCACGGGAGGATATGGGGTAGTGGATATTCTTGACCGCCACTACACGGCACGGTAATAATCAATATTGAATAAAAAATTATTCTATTCTATTCTGTTCTATTCTTGATATGCGGGTTGGCAACCGCAATTTTTTGAAGATGCTGCTGCCCATCTTCTGTTTCAGTTTTCCTCTTTTAGTTTGTTTCTTTTAGTGTGTTAGTTCTTATAATTTGCACGTTGCTAAATATTCTTTAAGGCGTTATTTTTCTTCGAAAATATAAGGTAGCACAATTGCGCTATGCGGGTTTTAATTATAGTAACGCATGATTTTGCTTATGCGTAAATAACCGTTTTATTAAAAATTTTTAGGAGTTCCTTTGGATGATAACAAAATATTGGATCTACTGCAGGATGGAAATAATTCCGATTTAGATATTTCGGATTTTGAATGTGACGAAGACAGTCTAGAACAACCATCATTACTAGATCAGCAGTTTGAAGGCCAAAATGTTACAGCTCCGCCACAAGAACCATTAACATCCATGCGAACAGGCAGGCAACGAACTTTACCTTTGCGTAAGCGAATTTGGAAAAATGCTTATTATATTGATAAACTCCATGATTATTCTGGGCATCCAGAACCTGAAAAAATCCTTTCTCCAAATGAGTATTTTCGTGATTATTTTGACGAATCGTTTTTTGAAAATACTGCTTTTTGCACCAACATGTATTTCATGCACCACACTGGACAGGTTCTTAACACCAGTAGTCAAGAAATAAAAAAATTGGTCGGCATGCATTTGATAATGGGCATGTTGTCGTATCCAAGAATTGCAATGTACTGGCGTAAACATATACAAGTGGAAATGATAGCCACAGCTATGCCTAGGGACAGGTTTACCACTTTAAGAAACGCTTTACATGTTGTCCCATCTGATACTCCACCGGCTGGTCCAAGGAACCCACTTTGGAAAGTACAACCTGTAATTGACATTGTAAAAAGCGCATGTAACAAAATTGACAGATGTCCAGGAAGATTTTCCGTTGACGAGCAAATAATACCATTTACAGGTAAATGTGAGCTTCGGCAATCATTAAAAAACAAACCACGACCAGTCGGCCTTAAAAACTTTGTCGTTACTACAAGTGATGGTATAGTGCTTGACTTTGAGATATATTACGCAGGCAATCCCGCTCTCTCAGACAGATCTTTAGGACTTGGACCAGCTGTCATTTTACGTTTAGCACAAGCGATACCACCGACGAGTTGCCTGTATTTCGATCGGTATTTTACAACGATACCCCTGCTGGAAGCGTTATCGAAACAGAACCTCCATGGTACGGGACCGATTATGCTTAACCGCCTACCCGATCGTGTAGAGATAAATTTTAAGGAGGACAGGAATATGAAGCAAGGGGATGTTGATCAACGGGTTCTTGATGACAACATTGCATTAGTCAAGTGGAAATACAATAAAGGTCTCGTTATGGCATCCAACTGCACGGGTGGTAACTGTGTCGACGTCGTCAAACGTTACGATAAAAATAGGAAGGCATACATTGACGTAGATGCTCCAAGAGTTGTTACAAGTTACAATAGATACATGGGCGGTGTCAATGTTTTAGACCAGTCCATGGAATATTACAGAACTTTCATAAAAACCAGAAAATGGACCTTGAAAGTGATTCTTTATTTTCTAGATCTAGCTGTTGTAAATTCGTGGAGATTGTACAAATGTCATTCTTTGGCAAAAGGTGTGCTAAATAACGAGATTATGGATCTAATGGCTTTCAGGTTTGAAATTGGAGAGTCATTGCTATCTACACCGGACAGAGATAGACGAGAAGCAACTCCACCCTCCATGCTGACTGAACAAGCTTCAGGTATTCGCAAATACCGACCAGGTACAAAGCCATCGGAGGGTAAGAGGTACGATGGATATGACCATCTTCCAATCGTAGATGAAATAACGTCTCCACGTTGTTGTCGCTTAGAGTCTTGTTCCTCACGAACCAAAATCAGATGCAGAAAATGCAACATTTATTTATGTTTAAGCCGAAGCAATGACTGTTTTTATTTATATCACACTCAATAATAACAAACTTTACTTACAGTGAGTTCCTAAACAAAACATGTAACGCAGAGACGGCTTATTACTGATATTGTTGATTTTATATGCTAAAGACATTATTATTGTATACTTCTAATTTGGTGATCTGATTTAAAAAAATAAAGTTTAATTGCGTAAACTACGCAAACTATTAGAAAAATTTATTTCATTTAAAGAAATATATAGATATAAGAAAGATAAACCCAATTCGCACAATCGTGTTAATACATGATAATATGTTTTTTTTATATTTTAGGTCCACCCATATTAACTAATTTTGACAAAAAGTTATATTTGATAAAATTATCAAGTTTGAAAGGGATAATTTAACACACATTTACAAAAAACAAGTGTCAATAGAACAGTCTACAATATAACAAGCATGAATTTGGGTTTTTTACCACGTTTTTATTAAGTTGCTTTCGTGTATGTCTGTTCGACGTAGCTGTTACACGGCGCTAGATAGAGTGACGACCTGATAAGTAGGAAGTCTGTAGTGCAGGTAGCTCGGGACCTTCTTTTATGACAATCTACGTGGGAGTATTATGTTCAGCATGGACTTGCTATGGTCTGTATGTATGAAGTTATATATTAGGTATTATTAACGTATTTACGCAAAAATGATTCAACTCACAAAAAGGTAATTTTGTGCGCTTCAAGTTTGAATTTGTATTAAACTTGTAATGTACTCGGTTATTGTCTATTTATTGCATAACTACGTCTAATAAATGTCGTTTTTCAGGGGTTCCTGTATTTTCCACGACTAAGAACGGAAAACCGGTGATATTATTTGATGGACACCGTTTCAACCAACACAGTAACTCGAAAGGAAACAGAGGGTTTTTTGTGTGCGTGAAATGGGGAACGGCATGTAGAGCTTCGATAAGGACCGTCAACGACGAAGTAGTTTTCATTAAAAATAATCATAATCATTAAATTTTACAGAAAAAAGGTTAAGAAGTCGCAAGCGGCAAAACTTCAGCTGTGATAATGACACTATGTCATTATCACAGTCATTGCTGGAGTATACGGTTTGAAATAGAATGTAAAGTTGTACAAAGTTATTAGTTTTTATTAAAAACTAGTTGTCTATCGCGACTTCGCCCGCGTGGAATTTACTGCAATTTCATGGGTTTTAATTTTTTTTTCACGGTACCCTAATTTTTTTTCTAAAATAAAAGTATCCTAAGTTACTCCTTATACCATCAGCTATCTGCCAGTGAAAGTCACGTCAAGCAGTTTCGGAGATTATCCGGAACAAATAGACAGACAGACAGACAAAAATTTTGAAAATGGTTTTTTTGTGATTAGTACCGTATACCGTCGATCGACGGATTCAACTCGGCTGGGCAGCGTTCGGGAAACTACGACACATCTTCTCGTCAGACATACCTCAAATCCTTAAAACGAAATTGTACAACCAGTGCGTGTTGCCAGTGATGACTTATGGATCTGAGACGTGGTCCTTCACTGCTGGCCGTATGAGGAAGCTCAAGGTCGCTCAGCGAGCTATGGAGATGGTAGAAGTAGAACCGCAGTAGAACCAGAGTAACTGACATAGCCCAACGGATTAGTAAGCTGAAGTGGCAGTGGGCCGGCCATATAGCTCGAAGAACCGACAACCGATGGGGAAGAAAGGTTCTTGAGTGGCAGCCTCGTACCGGTAGGCGAAGTGTAGGGCGACCCCCCATGAGATGGAGTGACGACCTGGTAAGACATACAGGAAGTCGATGGATGCAGGTGGCTCAGGACCATGCTTTGTGGCATTCCTTGGGGGAGGCCTATGTTCAGCAGTGGACTTATGAAAGGCTGTAATGATGATGATGCTGACCATATATTCTTTCATATGCATTTAGTAAAAAGCTGTTATTTTAACATTACAAACAGACACAACAATTTTATTTATTTGTACAGATTTTATGGTGACAGAGATAATATGTCCGACCACTATTCGGTAATATGAGGTACCGACAGAATATCAGTGCTGTCTGTGGCCGTTGCAAAACTGCTACAACATCATACTGAGTTGGAATGCTTTTCGTTGCTGCAACCCAATGAATTAGTATGCATTGTTATTTCTTTTTTGTTTTGTAGTTGTAATTTCTTCATATTATAATGAATTGTGTTATGTGTGGCGAATAAATCATTCGATCATTCAGTATCGGTATGCATTAACATGTGGAGTCATCGTTATGCGAAGTGCATTATAGAAGCCAAAATATTTATGGAGCCTATGGTCAAAGCTTTCAACGCTAGCACCCTATGAACCAACCCTATTCACAGCGATCTTGAGTCTATACATCCATTTCAGTCAATAAAAGTCCACTGCTGAGTACAGGCCGCCCCAATAGATTGTCTCCTATGGGTATTTCTGTGGCTACGCTTGGAAGGCACCCGCCTGATGATGAAGGTTGTGAGCTGTTATCAGGAAGATACTGCTGAACATCTCCATGTAGTGGATACTCTTACACCACCACTACACGGTAAGAGCTTCTGTAATATACACCCATATTTTGTAATTACCAAAAAATATAAGTGCTCTCAGTGTCCGTTACTGATCACATTTAGGTTTTTTTTTATAGGATCGAGTGACAAACGAGCACACAGTCCACATGATGGTATGCGGTTGCTGTGGCCCATAGATATCTACATCTATCCTCGTTTGCGAATCAAAATGCAGATGTGTTGTCACTCGTGAGGACTAAGATGGAATGCCTCTTATCCAGTAAAAAGTCTCTACACTCACTATACGAAACACAGCAGTTGCTGTTGCAGCTGCTATTTTACGCTGGTATCCTGTGAGAGCGTGGTCCTTCCCCGGTCGAGCCGACCCATTCGTGGTACAACTATACTACTAATATAGCTACAGCATGGCTCTACCACGTACAAATAGTAGAAAAAACCTTAAAAAAATATCTTAAAAAAGGATAATTATTCACACAATTGTTATACGTAATTACTGAATTTTCATTCTTTTCGTGACCCGGTGACCTAAGCGAGAGACTACGAGTGAGAAAGAAGTAGTGACGTACATACATAGGTACAGTATTAACGATGGGAGATGGTACAGGAGCGTCTTATGACAGGAGTGCGTACGTTATTTACTTGTATAGTATTTTCTAGTACTGTGACAATAAATTCAGGCTAGTTTTTGGATAAAAACAAACCTCGATAACATTGTAATAGATAAATAATAAAAAATTCTGACAGTGCCATTATCAATAGTAACATCCGCTGCAACTGTACTTAATTTTTTTTTGGTACGTACAAAATAGTGGTGTATATATAAAATTTTAAAATTGTAATGGACCTTGATTTTGTAGCGACTTGGGCATGTTTTCTGATGCCAGGTCATCTATGTATTATTGAGGGAGTACCAAGTGGTTCTTAAAATATTTATTTACTGATCGGACTAATACGGCAATGTTGCAAAGGTTTATAAGGTCGCATTGTTTCTAATATTATTTTATTGTTATTACTTATTTAAGAACTACCTATCAAATCTGTAATGTAATAGATTTTTTTTATTTTATTTTAATTATTGTTAACGTATCTATCGTCAAAGTCTAATGAGTTTAAACAATATGGACTAAACTTGTGATATGTAAATAACAGAAAAACAAATTGTAATAATACGTAAAAATTTGAATCACTTCTACTACTACTATTACTTTGTGTAAACTTATTGAGAAATAAATCTGTTATTCTTTTTTTATTTTTTTTTAATTGCTTTTTATAATTTTGTTGTATGAAATATTTATTTATGGGCCATTATATTTACTTTTAATAAATCATCGTCATCGTTGTCATTACTACAACTCATCACTAGTCCTGACCTGACAAGCTGACCATAGACCTGCCCCAAGAAATGTCACAAAGCAAGCACCTTACCCACCTGCATCCAAATCATTCCAACATCAATATACCCATATGATCCTTCATGTTGAACTTAGATATTGCTTATATAAGCGATCTTGTCACTATGGTACCCATGGTATGGTCACTCACGGTGAACTAAGAGGTACCCACATAGCAGGCATGAGTTGAAGGGCCGGCTGTAGTGGCCAGTCCGAGTGGCAAGCCCACTTCGGATGTTTATTGGTGAACTGAGACAAGATGGGTGTCCTCTCCCCCTCTCACTGCATGCAGAGGCCGAAGTTGAGTCCCAGAGAAAGGGAGTGTAGGTATAGTTATACGCTACTCGCCTAGTCCTCCGCGACCGAATCGTGGTTGACAGCGCAACCATAGACGAGATCTGCCCAGCTGGGTCAGGAAGGTGCTAGTAATCGAACTTCCTGGTCCCTTCGCGGAGTATGATGCCACAGAGGAAGGCGTACTTTGTATTCTGGTGCACTATACCTAGGCGGGAAAATGGGAGAAGTTATCCTCCCGCGGAGAGGCCGCTACGAGGCGTCTAGCGATTATTGGGCTGCGAAAGTGTGCGCAAGTGTTTCCGTGGCCCTGCCAATATGCGGCGAAGATTTTGTAGAAACACCACTCTGTCGCCTTTACGGGACAATTTGAGGTAGTGGATATTCTTACACCGTCACGACACTGTAAATGAATTATTTATTTATTACTATTTAATAATCCAATAAAATATATGTTGCTGTTACTAACAACATGCAGACGACAGCACTGGTGATGCTTTATACACCGGCCGTGCTGATATTTCTCGGGATCATTACGTCGAGTGTCGGAACAAACTTGTGTCTGAAGTCGAGACTGTTAAATAAAGTCTCGGACTAAAGCAATTAAATCTAGTCTCATTTAACGCTCAAAAGTCACAGGTTTACGCGTTTACCGCTAAAATAACCACTTTTGTCGTAACTCTTCAATTTCAAGGTACTGTCCTTATTGCCTCAGCTGGCATCGGAGTCACTTGCTCATTAGAGTGGTATATTATTTCATTCCACAGTGCTAGCAACTTGGCCTTGTAGGCCAAAGTTTGTTCCCACATGGAATACTGTTCTCATCTCTGGGCTGTGGCACTCCAGTGCTGTAGACACTAGAGTCGCTCTTCCATTTGACCGCATCAAGTGAAGAGCGGCCCGAATCGTCAACGACTGAGTACTCCCTGATCGGCTTAGCTCATTGGTGCTGCGGAAAGATGTTGCATCCCTTTGCATATTCTATCCCATCTGTCACGGGGAGTACTCAGAGTAATTTATTCCAGCCGCCATATTTCACTATCGCACAATGCGACAAAATTTTCGATACCGTGCATACCGACTGGAAAATTAGCGGTCCACAACTGTGCAGTTTACTAGAAGTTTTCTACCTCGCACAACTTCTTGGTGGAATTGGATACAATACTTAGGAATCTACAAGAAAATATCTTATTCCTTTTTAAAAAGCCGGAAATGCGCCGGCATTCACAAATTCATTCAACTAGTGTTACAGTTGTTCATGGGTGGCGGTAGTCACTTAAGAGGTAAGCCGCATGCTCGTTTGTCCCCCTCTTTTATAAAAAATACATGATATTAATGAAAATATGTATCAAATATATGTTATATTTTGATTTTTGTCAATTTGTAAAAATTAAAAATCAGATTATGCAAACTATTGCACCCGCCATTTTATCGTCCTTCTTAGTCACCATGCTTGTTGTTACAGGAGTAATATTTGGAACATCAAGGTCCGGGAAACCAATGATATTATTGGGCCGCCACAAATACAACTTATACAACAGAACAAATTCAAAGTCAGTGTGGAGGTGCACCAAGTGGAGATGGGGTTACTGTCGTTCGTCCATTATCACAATAGATAACGTTATAGTTGATGTCAGGAAAATTCATAATCATGACTGAATTAACTTAACCCAAATGTTACATCTTTTATTTAATGTTATATTCTATATTTATTTTTGTTTTTCAAATTAAAAGAAATAAACATTGATGTTT